TTTGCCCAGATTTTTTCTCTTTGAGCTCACCTTCCTGCCAGTTTATCGTCCCTCCCTTTTTGAAGTCCTGTCTCCAGGGTAACCCACTGCACCCTCAGGAAGCCTTCATGGATGACCGTATCCGGCCTGCATACGAGTTTGCGTGGTGGAATACTCGCATCACCTTTCCACCAGGGGGCGTCGACCAACTTCTGAAAAGGTCATACAATTGGTTCAGATGGATGGCAAAGGGTGGTTTGCCAATCAAGTACCCGGACACTGACACCTCCACGCTGACACCGGCCGAAGTTCAGCACATCAAGACCCAGTTGGAGAATGCTCGGGATCGTCTCCTTGAACGTATCAAGCGTGCTGAGGCCGAGGAAGAGTGGGTCACCAATGAGATTTCGGTTTGGGAGGAAATTGTACAGCAGTCTGCTCTTATTGACCTAATGAGGTATCACAAGAACCGGTTTTCAGCACATAGAAACCCAGGTGGAGAAAGCCCGGCATCGGGTTCGTCAAGCCCCCCATCTCCTTGAACATATTGGTGCTGAGGCCGAGCAAGTTTGGGTCGGATTTGTAATTCATTATTTATTAGTTACCAGACAAATTATATATCAAGTCTGCCATGATCAACCACTGAGGCCTCTTCACCCCAAGCCTTTCCCCAACCTTTTTGTGCCAAAAGTGAGCTAAACAGGCCCGGTCACCCAGCACAGGACAAACACCATGTTGTAAAACATTGCCGGCCAAGGCAACAACCGTCCCAGGGTCATAAACAAGGCTAAACCCGAGCCCGGCTAAGTGACACCGGCCTCCTGTGTAGTTTCCGATGGTGAGCAACAAGTCAAAAGACTCCCTATAACCCTTTAGATCTCGGTGATCGATCGTCTCTCGGTTCAGGATGACTGAAAGACCGGTGAAGGGAGTGGCCCAAACGCGAAGAGCAATATTGATAGGATCGTCCAATGCCTCGGCATGATTGGCAAGCTTCTCGAAGGTGGCTAAACCGGACTCAAAAAGATCGGGTTGTATGACAGCATAGATTGCGCCAACAATTGCATTGGCCAATAGGACATTCTGGAGGTAGGTTGAATTGGCAGGTTCCTGAATATCGGCTGACGCGCGCAGTGGATCCTCGGGACCTTCATGTCCTTGAGAAAACCGAGCTGGGTGATAAATTTACAATCCCCAGTGACCCCTTCATTCTCGGGGTGGTGATCCCGCCAACTCCCATACTTCTCTTTTG